TGTCTCTAGAAGAATCCTGCTCTGGGTTGCTTAAATCCATAGGGATCCTTCCCTTCTGTCCTCTCTCTGCGCTCCAGGAAAACCCTTTGACTCAGTAAAAACTGGGATTTTCCTCCTGATATTTCACTTCCACTGGTTCCCTGGGAAAGCTGTTCTCCCCCCCCTTGTCTCCAGGGAATCCTTCATGCCCACACCACAGGCACTGATCCATCCCAGGGGTCGGAATTACATCTTCAAGGTCTCTTCCAACCCAAACCATTCCATGATTCCCTGAGGAAAGAGAGCTCTGACCGTGCCCGCTGGGTTTGTGGGATTCTCCTTCCCCACAGCTCCATCCACAGGGATCCCAGCTGGATTCTGGCCGGCTGATCCCACTTTCTGATCCCTTTTCTCTGGACACAGCTCCCATTTCTTTGCCGTGGCATCCACAGATGTGGGATCATTCTCCCTCCTTGAGGAGCATTAGGTGACTTTTATTCTCCTTTTTCTCCATAAACAAAAGGTAGAGGACACTTGGAGCATCATTCCCAAGCTAAAGAATCCCAGTGCCTTTTGGTATCCCCAAAAATTCGGCCGAGAAGCTGAAATGTCTTGATGGAATTCTGCTGGGGATGGAATTTTTGGGAGACTGAGGCAGTTTTGCAGAGGGGCTGCTGAGGCAGGTCCTGCTTGGTCCTGACTCTCCCCCACAGCCCCTTTAACAACTCAGCCTTGAAAATTTGGGATTGAAAGCAGGGCCTTAAAGGGTTTGGGATCGAAATCCTCCCATGCCATGTGGGGGATTTCTAGGAGACATCCTTGAACATGGAGATTTTTGAGTTGTGGGGAAATGCAGATCTTGGCCTTCATCTTATTCTGAACTTGACTGGAAATGATGGGGTTTCTCATAATCTTTTTTTTTTTTTTTTTTTTTTTTTTTTAACATGTTAAAATCACGGGCAGGGACCGCCCGCGAAGGTACGTCATGACATGACCCGAGGGTCTGAAACGATCCTTCCATTTTTTCCAGCAGATTTTTCTGGGAATCATTCGAATTTCAGTGTAAGAGCCTTTGGCAAAGGCACGTCATTCCTTTTAGCCTGGAGGCTCCAGCTCCTGTTCCCAGACTCCTGTTGGAGGCTGGAGCGTTCACGAGAGCCTGGATTCCTCCAGGATGGAGCCTTCCATGTGCTCCATTTTCCAGGGAAAAAAGGGGAGAAAAGGAATCAATTCTTTGCTTTGTACAAAGGCTGAACCTTTTATAAACAGAGTGTCCGGGCAGGAATGGGATTTTTTGGAATTTTCTCTCCTTTTGTGGTGCCTTTCCAATTTTTTTGCTGTGCTTTCCCTTTGTTCATGCTCCCAGTACCAGGAGGGCCTCTTGCCCATGAACCACCTTCAAAAATATCCCGGTTTCCAAGCCCGCTGGAGCATGGGAATGGGCTCTGGAGAGGGGCAGACATCCAGGATCATGTGGTGATGGGACAGGGCTGGGACAAACACAGCCTGGTCTTTGGAAATGTGGGAAGAATTAGGACGAATTCAGGTTGAGATGTTGCTTTGGATGCTTCCCGACATCTCCTGTCAGCCAAACCTCCGGCAGATGCCAAATTGGTTCCTGAAAACATTTCCAGGCTCATCCTGCCTCCCTTTGGTCGGGCCAGCGGCTCCAGGCTGGATGGGATGCAGGTGGCTGATCCCAAACTTTCAGTTTTCCTCCTGGAGGGGAGGAAAGGAAAGCTCCATTCCCTCTTGTGGGAGCCAGGTGGGAGCGAGGGGCCTGGGAATCATGGATGGCAAAAGGCAGGGATTGGTGCTGGTGCTTGGAGTGGGAAGGAGAAAGCCATGGGAAAAGTGGTCCCAAAACCCCAACCGTGCATGGAATCACTGCTGGAGCTCACAGAATTCCCTCAAATTCCCTGGCTGTGGTTTAAGGATGGGGCTGGGGCGTTCTCCAGCTGGGGCTGGTGGCACTTTGCTGTCACGTGGAGCTGGAGCTGAGGCGCTGGGAAGACATTTTCTGCCTTTGGAAAACCATAAATATCCTTTTTCCATGTGAGGCGGAGTGGGAAAATTCCAGCCAGGCTCGCTGGGTGGTGGGGTCTCCGTCAGTGTGGGTGTAGAGTGGAAATGAACACCTTTGCATGGAGCAAATTCCCAGATTTGGCTCTTTTGGGACATACCCCAACATGGAAAAACTCTTTCCAGCATCCCAAAAAAATCCTAGACCTGCCATGATCCCTTGTGGCTGGGTGCCGCCACAGTCGGGCTGGGGCATCTCAGGGTTAACAAAGCTGAGCTTAGAGATGATTTTGCCTCTCGGCAGCTCTGGAACAACTTTTTCTTGCCCCGATTCTCCTCAGCTTTGCCTGGATTCGCTCCTGGAGCGGCCGAGCCGCTCGGCTCCACTTCACTAGAGGGCGCAGGAATTTTAGGCTGGGAACGTGCCGGGGTTCGTCGGGGAAAGTTGGCTGCCTTCTCCTCCTTTTTAATCAACTGGAAAGATGCAGGGTTGAACTGGAGGTGACTGGAAGGGGATCCAGACTTGTGTCTGGCCGGGGAAGGATCTGCTGACATGTGGGATTAGGCGGTGCGAGCGCGGCGGCGGCGGCCGGGACGGAGCAGCGCGGCCGGGGCTCAGGCCGTGGCTCGGTTGGGAGCTCCAGGGAGCAGCCAGCTGGAGGAGCCTCCTGGCATGGGGAGAGCTCCCAAAAATTGCAGAGAAAGAACAAAATCCCCCTCACCCCCCGGAGCTTAACCTGCCCCTGGTCAGGTTTGTGCTGATCCCATCAGGGGCTCAGTTTTCTCTTCCCTCCTGTTCACACCAATCCTTAGGACAGGATCTTTCCTCTTGGGAAGCTTGGCTTGATCCAGGGGTGTGGATCCAGCCCCCCACAGCTCGGCAGCTGTTTTGGGACCAGAGGCACGTCTGTGTCCTTCCTTCAGGGAGCAGGGGGTCTCCCTGTGCTCCTCCTGTGGGGGATGCCGGGGAAGGATGAGTACAGGAGCCCCCAAAGGCCACCTCCACTGGGCTGGTGGCTCCCAGCAGGGACGTAGACCCGGTGCTCCTAAAGCAGAAGTTGTCCCCTCACTGGCCCTGCTTCCAACTGGGGAAACTGAGGCACGGGAAGTGTTTCAGGACATTCACTGGGAGCTTCTGTCCTTATTCCAAGCTCCTCAGCATGGATGAAGGGCAGGTGAGAGCTGGATGGGGACACAGCGGTGTCCCTTTGCCAGGTGGTCTTGTCCCATCCCTGTGGAAGAGCTCATGGATCCTGGATCTGCATTAGACCCGGTGTCCTGCTCATGGACAAAGGAACTGTCCCTTCCCCACTCCCTTGTACCTTCCCCATTCCCTCCCCACCTTCCCCACACAGCCGAGGGTCTCGGCTTCACCCCCTCCAGCTTTTCCTGCTGCTTTTTCCAGCAGAAAATGCGCAGCCGAGGGTCTTGGCTTTACCCCCTCCAGCTTTTCCTGCCCGAGCAGCTGCTTTTTCCAGCAGAAAATGCCCGAACGCCGCTGCCTTTCCAGGCTGGAGCGGCGCTGGATGCAGGCAGGAGGCGGCCCCGTCCCGCTCCCTGCTGTTCATTCATTCATTCATTGATTCTTCCTCTCATTCATTCATGCCTCTGCTCTCTGCGGCCATCCAGGGATGGCTCCCTGTCCCCACGGTCGGATTCTCTTCCCTATCCATCCTCGCATCCCGGGATTTCCGCGGGCAGCTCCGCGCCGGGCGCTGAGTTTTACTGGGGGCTCAACCTGGGGCGCTGCGAAGCGGCTCTTGCGGAGGCTCCTGCCCGGAGCTGCGAGGGGACAGAGGTGTTTTTTCACCAAACAAACTCCCAGGGAACGCCGGGCATTAGCAATGAGGGGTCGCAGCCAGGAAAATATTACCTTTCCCTTGGAGTGCTGACTGCGGAGGAAATTCTCACATTTACAGCTCCGGCGAGCCCGGCGCTCATGGAAAAGAGGGGGCGGCTTTGATTTCGCTCCTCTCGGTGGGTTGATAACTTGGCAGCCCCCCCACCTCGCCTCCATTCCCGCCGGGAAGCGGCCACCGGTGGAGGCTCCGGCGCGCAGCTCCCTCCTTGGAATCCTGGTTTAATTGGATTTTCCTGGAGGCCTGCGGTGCGTGTGCGCCCTGCCCCGTGCGTGTGTGTAGGTTAATAAAAAATAAACAAACAGCACTTTCCCCCCTTGCTCGGCGAGGGATGCGGCGGGAATGCCGAATGAAAGCACTGCTGTGCCGGGAAGGGACATTCCTGGCATTGCTGAGCTCCTCGAGCGGGCCCGGGCCCAAATTGGAGGAAAAAAATTGGAGTAAGGAGCCGTTAGCGTGGGGGACCTGGGGAGGCCCAGTCCTGCTCACTGTTTACTCGCAGGGCTTAAATTAACGCTGGCTGCTGACATCAGGAATTTTTTTTTTTTCCCCTGGTTTCCCAAGGAAATGAGCCGAGGGCGATCGCGGCCTCTGCGTACGTGCAGAGGCTCTTCCCCGCTTGAACCCCTGTCGGAGTTCAGCCAGATTCCACAGAGATCCTAAAGGCTCCAAAATAATTATTTTTCTTTGTTTTGCATCCGTGAAGGCAAAAAAAAAAAAAAAGAAAAAGGAAAAGGTGATGGAGAGGTGGGAGGAATTGTCAGTGCTTCCTGTTGGGAGAGTTGTGTTTTCCCCTTGTGTTTGTCCATGTTGGATGCTGGAGAATCCCTGTGGAAAAGGTGCATTAGTGATACCCAAACCATGGGATGAACAGAGCTGGGATCCTTTGGACACAGAAAGCCATCTCTGTCCTTCCTGCCACACGTGGGATGGAGGAATTCCTCCCATCCTGGTTTGCTCCGTTACTCCTGGTCAGTTGTGATGGTCATGGTGGGAATCTCGGGAGGAACTGGTGTTTCTGCCAGCTTTTTTGGGAACTGGATGAAGAGTTTGGAATGGTGACAACTCCCTGTAGGACACCTTGGAGAAAGCCATGGCTATTGGGGCTGTGGACAAACCTCTCTTTGCTGTTTCCCGTAGGTTTTCTCCAAGATTTTCAGCCACGAGGCTCTGGAGAGTTACCTCCCCAAGATCCAGCTGGTGATCAAGGACACGCTGCGGGCCTGGAGCAGCACGCCCGAGTCCATCAACGTGTACCACGAGGCGCAGAAGCTGACATTCCGCATGGCCATCCGCGTCCTGCTGGGCTTCCGCATCCCGGACGAGGAGCTCGGCCGCCTCTTCGAGGTCTACCAGCAGTTCGTGGAGAACGTCTTCTCCCTGCCCGTGGACCTGCCCTTCAGCGGCTACCGGAGGGTGAGACTGGGGTCGGGTTCTCAATTAATTAATGGGCGGTGATTAATCCATGCCTTTCCCCGTTCTCGGTGGGATTTCTCATCCTCTGGCCTCAAGGAGTCCGTTTTGGGCCACAATTCCTGATTTGGTGGAGAAGGCAGGGGAAAATCTGTTCCTTGGTGGCTGGAGTGGTTTGATAACAGGAAATAACCAGGACTTGCCCAGATTTAATTTGTGTTTTTCCTCATTTGGCAATTTGCCTGTGTTTTTTTAGTTTGTGGGACCCTTCTCCTTTTAATTCACTTGGAGTGAAACAGGTCCTTGTAATTCCAGGAGCTAAAGCAGATCCTTGTAATTCCCAAAACTAAAACAGGTCCTTCTAATTCCTGGAGTACTCCAGTTTTTATGATGAAACACGCAAAATGAAAACATAACAAAAAAATAGACATAAAATCATTTTTTTTTTTCCCCATGAGGAATTTTGATAACAGAAATACGTGGGTTCAAAATTTATTTTTCTGATATCCCTGCATTTTCTTTTACTGCTATTTGCCCATGGGAACGATTCCATCCCCTCGGAGCCCAGAATCATTCCCAGCAGCAGGTTAGCCCCGAGCAGCTGCACTCCTGTAGGAATTGCTTTACTGGGACCAGGTGATCAAATTGCTCGGGAAGAAGATTCTTTGGGATGAATGGGCTTTCCTTTGAGAGACGATTTTCCCAGGGATTTCCATACATCCCAGGAGGAGCCGGGGGCTGTGAACCGGTGCCGGACAGGGGCTCCCAGCCCAGACCCGTCATTTACACCTAGGTGTTGATTGCTCCTCCTGTGATCTCCCCCACTCCGGCTTCACTCCTCCTGCCCAGGGGACACCTCCAACATCTTCACACCCCTCTTTGAGCCTCTGCTTTTATGGCTCAGACCTGTCCTGAGCACGCCTGCAGCTCCTGGGATGGGCAAGGTGCTGCTGGTGGCATGGTCTGAGCGCTTCCTGCTCCGCAGGGAATCCGGGCCCGGGAGACGCTGCAGAAGGGGCTGGAAAAAGCCATCCAGGAGAAGCTGCAGAACACGCAGGGCAAGGACTACGCCGACGCCCTGGACATCCTGATAGAGAGCGGGAAGGAGCACGGCAAGGAGCTGACCATGCAGGAGCTGAAGGTAAAGCTCTTCCCTGGGGCCCCCTTGGGCAGGGCCTTCCTGAAGGGAAAAGTGAGGGATGCTCCAAGGAGGAACTTTTGGGGCAGACCTGAGAGCTGGGGGACCACGATGTGTTGGTGGATGCAATCCAGACCAGTTGCTTTATTCATTTGCTGGTTGTGCCCAGCCCTTTCTACAAAACGTTCCATGGAATCATTAAGCTTGGAAAGGCCTCCAAGGCCAACCTCCATCCCCACTAAACCATACCACGAAATTCCACATCCACTGGGTTTTTGAACGATTTCAGGGATGGTGACTCCATCGCCGTCCCAGGCAGTCTCTTCCAACGCTTTGCCCCTCTTCCAGGAAAGGAATTCTTCCTGATATCCAACCTGAACCTCCCTGGTCACAATGGAAGCCTTGATCAGCTGCATCCCCTGACCTTTCCACTTCTCCTGGTGCCTCCTTTGCAGGGCACAGGAGCCCCTCAGCAGGTTCTTATCTGCAGCAGGGCCGTGGCATGCCAGGAGCCATCTCCTGGGTTTTTGTCTGATTCTCAGAGGTTCTGTGTGAAGCTCCTCATGGTGGCTGTCCAAAGAGTCACCTTCCAGTTAAACGTGACCAGGCTGTGGGTGCCCCATCCCTGGAAGTGTCCCAGGCCATTAACAACAGACACAAACTCTGCCCAGATTTCCCTCATCCATCCTGGTGGGTGGGAAATCACCACCAGAGTAGAATCCATCTCCCTCCACATTCCATTTTTCCCTCTCCCAGCTTTGTGATGTGATCCTTCCTCAGGTCACTCAGCCCCTTTGGATCTTAAATCTTTGGAGCAGCTGTTTTTTGGGAAAATCTGTGGCTGCTCCATCCCTGGGAGCCTCCAAGGTGAGGTTGGGCAGGGCTTGGAGCACCCTGAGACAGTGGGAGGTGTCCCTGGGGCTGGAACAAGTTGATCCTTAACTTCCATCCAACCCAAACCATTCCACGATTCCGAGGCCAGGCTGGAAATCTTTTGGGGAGAAGAACACCCTGGGGCACCTTGAGGCGCTGAGGCTGGTGGCCCCTCTGCCCCACCCCTGTGTCTCACCCTGGCCTTTCTCCTGCCCCCCAGGACGGCACGCTGGAGCTCATCTTCGCCGCCTACGCCACCACGGCCAGCGCCAGCACCTCCCTGATCATGCAGCTCCTCAAACACCCGCGGGTGCTGGAGAAGCTGCGGGAGGAGCTGCGGAGCAAAGGGATCCTCCACAACGGCTGCATCTGCGAGGGCTCCCTGCGCCTGGACAACATCAACGGCCTCCAGTACCTGGACTGCGTCATCAAGGAGGTTCTGCGGCTCTTCACCCCCATCTCCGGGGGGTACCGGACCGTGCTGCAGACCTTCGAGCTGGACGTGAGTAGTGCTGCACCCCGAGCTCCCCAAAACAGCCCGGCTGGCTTGAGCCTGGCTTAGAGGAGACCTCCGAGGGGATAAATGAAGTCCTGCCTAATTAAGTCCTTCTCCCAGGCAACCAGTGGTAGGATAAAGGGATGCAGCCCTAAGCTGGACCAGGGGAAGTTTAGGCTGGATATTAGGGAAAAAGTTCTTCCCAGAAAGAGTGGTTGGGCATTGGAATGGGGTGAGGTGGTGGAGTCACCATCCCTGGAGGGGTTTAAGCCTGGATGTGGCATTCAGTGCCACGGTTTAGTGGATGAGGTGGTGTTAGCTCACAGCTTGGACGTGATGATCTGAAAGGCTTTTGCAGCCTAATTAATTCTGTGATTCCGGCAATGGGATTTGCTCCAGATCCAGCAGTGATGGGATGTGGAGCAAGGGATGCGTGGAGCTGTCAAAGAGCAGACGGGTGTGATGCTTCAAAGCCCAGCTCGTGACAGTGACGCCAAATTCTGAGCTGGGGTGTGACAGGGGAAAGGTTTACGGCAAAGGGCATCTCCAGGCTGCCGGATGACAGGCGGATTAGTCACCACCATGGCTGGAATTTCCTCCCAGCAAAACAAAATCTCGGGAGCTGCCTTGTCACTGTAAATCCTCCTAATGCAGTGGTTTGAGTCAGAGACCTTTTAAAGTGCTCAGGGGATGATAAATCCACCCCATTTCTCATCGCCCGGGCCCCAACGTGGGTGTTGGGTGTGTGGTGCTGACAGGCAGCGGGGTGTGGGATGCTGTGGGATCCTCTGGGATGCTCTGGGATGCTCTGGGAAGGGCTGGCTGATGTGTAGGGCATGGCACGGGAGAAGCTGCTTCCCCTGCTCAGCACCACGGGGTTCCTGGTAGGCAGCTCCTGCCAGTGACCACAAAGCAAATAAATAGATGGATCATCCCACGAATCCTTGGGACGGAGGGAGGAATGAAGCCAGGATTCGCATCTCTTTGTGCTGTGCTGTCTGATTTTCCTTTAAATCTGCATCACACTTGAGGGATAAACTCAAAAGAAATGGGAATAAGCAAGAAAAACTGTGAGGGTGGTGCTGCCTGGCACAAATTGCCCAGGGATTGTGGATGCCAAATCCCTGGAAGTGTCCAAGTCTGGATGGGGCTTGGAGCACCCTGGGGTGATGGAAGGTGTCCCTGCCCATGGAGCGGGGTGGGACAGGATCAGTTTAGGGTCCCTCCCAACCCAAACCATTCCATCATTCCATGGAAACAAAATTCCTTTATCTCATCCCCCTGTTCCCGCTCCCTCTCCAGCAGGATTGACCCACTCTGCTCTCCTCTCCACCCCTTCCTGCCTCTCCGCAGGGTTTCCAAATCCCCAAGGGCTGGAGCGTGATGTACAGCATCCGGGACACCCACGACACCGCTCCCGTCTTCAAGGACGTGGACGTCTTTGACCCCGACCGCTTCGGGCAGGGCCGGAGCGAAGACAAGGACGGCAGGTTCCACTACCTCCCCTTCGGAGGAGGCGTACGGACCTGTCTGGGGAAGCACCTGGCCAAGCTTTTCCTCAAGGCTCTGGCCATCGAGCTGGCCAGCACCAGCCGCTTCGAGCTCGCCACCAGGACTTTCCCCAAAATCACCCTGGTGCCCGTGGTCCACCCGGTTGACGGACTCAAGGTCAAATTCTTCGGACTGGATTCCAACCAGAATGAGATCCTGACGGGCACAGACGCCATGCTGGGGGCCACCGTGTAAAGCCCGCGCTGGTGGCACCAGGGATGGGCAGCCGGGGGAGGCAGGGGTGGGGTGGGGGCGAGGGGATGGACAGGAGGGGAGGAGAGAGGGATGAGGAGCTTCTCCACGGCGCTCACCTCCGGATCGGGACTGCTTTTCCAGCAGGGAAGCTGCCGGAAGCGTTTTGCTCTTCCCGCGGGACGCGGAGAAGGTCGGGGCGGCGGCGTCTTGTTTCGTCGGGAAGGAGGAAGATCCGCAAAAGCCGAGTCGAGCTGGGATGGCCGACCATACACAGTATCTAATTATTATAAATATATATATATAAATATCTATAAAACACTTCTGCTGCCAGGAGGAGAAGGCCCGACTGCGGGAAAGGCTTGGGAATCAGCCGAGGATCTGAGGTCTGGTGTCCCGGGGCAGCTCTGGGGTGACCTCTGACCTTTTTTTTTTAACAGTGTTAAATTAGCTGGTGATAACAGTGTTTTTATGTTTTTTGAGGTGGTTTTTTTTTTTTTTTTTTCATTTGTTTGGTTGTGTTGTTTGTTCTGGGGCATTGGAGCCTTTCCTTGGCCAGGGGGAGACAACGCTGCCCATTCCCAGCCCCTCTCCCGCTGGTGCCGGGGCAGGCTGGGGAGGAGGAGGGGTCGTTTTCCTTCCCAAAAATCCCCTCCTGTGGTGTCTTGCCCAGGGCTGAGTCATCCCCCAGGCTTCGGGAGAGGCAGATTTGCATTTTCCAAGATGTTTTGAAGCTCTGGGGAGGGGGATGCCCATTTTTTTTTTCTCTCATTGAGTTTCCTGCTGCTGCTACACGGCCTGTGAGCACCCCCTCCTCCGCAGCCCCCCGCCAGCCCTGGGCACAGGCACCCGGCTTTGGGGACATTTCGGTGCCTTTGCTGTCTCCTCAAGGTGCTGGCACCAGCCCCCGACCCCAGCATGGCTCTGGGGGCACCTGGGGGCACCGGGGCTGCTCCTGCCAGGGGCATTTGCATTAAAGGTGATCTCTCGAATTAAGCCAATGCACGCATTTGTTTGTCTCGTGTTTGGGGTTTTTTGGCAACGGGAGAGCTCAGCAGGAAGGAGAGGGCTCCGTGTCAGCTCCCACCCCGCATCCCAGGAGAATTCCAGAGCCTCTCCAGCACAAGCCAGCAGCCACTGAGAGGTATCTTTCCTTCCATTTGCTGGGGGGATTATTTTATTTTGGTTTTCTGCATGCAGGAGGCTTCTGGGATGAGTTGGAAGTTTGGAGGGTTGTGTTGGGAGGGTGTGGAGCACAAGTTCCCTGAGCACCTGGGCAGGTGTTGGGTTCCAACCAGAGCCAAACACCAGCTTGGGAGATCCCTCCGTGACTCGGGGCAGCTCTTCCAGCCCATCCAACCCCACTCCTGTCCCATCCCAACCCTCCGAGGCGGAACGGGCGACACGAGGAGGCCGAGAACGGTGACGGGCAGCGATCCCGTGCTGGCGGGGACAGCTAGGCTGTCGGCTCCACAGGGGTCCAGAGAAGTCCGAGGGCTTGGAAAGGGGAAGGAGAAGGGGCAGGTGTGGCTCACCAGGTGGCTTTGCAGGTTGTGCCTTTGCCTCTTTGGCAAGAGGTGCCTCTTGGGAAGGTGGCAGGAAGTGTGAAGCGAGCGGAGGCGAGGCCGCCTTGGCCGGCGTGGCGCTGGCGGGGGCAAGGAGGAGGGAGGCAGGTTTGGAGCCAAGGGAAGCACTTGAGGTTGGAATGCCGTCAGCCAAGCTGCCAGAAATCCCCCCTGGAGCATCCCAGGGGATGGTGGTCCCTCCCACCAGGGTGCACAGCTTGATTCAAGCTGGTATAAAACTCCCGATCTTCTGGGATTCCCCATTCCCATTCCTATCCCAGCCTCATTCCCGGGTGGTGACCAACGTGCCAAACCCACAGGAAGGTCTCAGGAGCCCTGGAGCAGAGGCTCAGAGTTTTCCAGACTGGAATTTTTAAATGGAACACCACTAGCTCAGGCCCTGTTGGGATTCCAGGTGTTTCCTTGTCTCTGATGGAGAGAAAACGTTCCCAAAAGGAGCTGGGTGGAAATCCAAATCCCAAAGGGCAAAGGGGAGCACAAACCTGGATGTGGTGGGAATGGGAGTCTCCGAAGGACAAACATCCCTGGAGAGGCACATGGAGGTGTCCATGGTTTTTGCAGGACTTGGGAATGGGGATGGAATGTGGGTGAGCTGTAGGGTGAGAACCCCATGGGTGCCCTCCAGGAGCCCCCGTTTCCATCTGGGATCTGTGCTTGGGGATGAGTGGGCTGGGAAAGGGGAAAGCTGGAGAGGGGGATGGACAGCCAGGATGGAAGGTCTGGTTAAAGACAAATCCCTCGGGTAGACGGGCAAAATCTCTTGGATAGACTTTTCTGGAAAGACTCCGTTGCTCTTTTCATGGGGAATCAGGGAAGAGTTTTTCCCTGAAATTTTTGTTTTAACTTCCACTGTCATTCCAAAGTGAGAACCAAACCTGCTCTGGAGTGAGTTTTGATGGGAATGGGAGCTGCAGCTATCCCTGAAATTCCATTAACATCCCGTGGATATACAGTGTTTGTGTGGGGGAGTATTTAATCCAGGCTGAAGTAAGCCAGGCTTTGTTGTTCCAGTCCTAACTAATATAACTTGACTAAAAAAATAAAGTTGCTGCAGTGGGTTTGCAGAATAAAGCACTTTGAATCTCAGATTTTTTTTTTTTTTTTAATTAGCACAGTCCAATTTGCTATAATATTATTTTATACACAAATTTTTTTTTTTTTGGTTTGTCTTTATAAACTATTATAAGTGCTATTTTTGTTATAATTCAAGAATAGATATTTAGGATAAAGTTGTGCTGTTAAATATTTGTTATTTAGTAAAAATATGATTTTTTTTTCCTCTATTGTAAACGTCGTCTGGGAAAAAAATATTAATGTTTTATCCTATTTGTTTTTAATATTAAAAAAAAAAGGAAAAAAGCACTTGTGGGGTTTTTCCGTTCTGGAATTGGTGCCGTGTGCGGTTGTGTTGCAGTCATGTGGGTTTTAATATGTACAGAATATTCTGTGTCCCATATTAAAATGAATGTTGTGTATTTTGTGATCCCAAAATAAAACAAAACAAAACAAAAAAAAAGAAACAAATCCTGTGGCTTCTTTCTAGAATTCTGGAATAAAATGGGGTTGGAGCTCCCAAGTTTTGGCCTCGTGTTGCAGCTGCTGCTCCTTTGAAGGCCTTGTGGCCTCTGGGTCTCAGGGAGAACCATTCCAAAAATTGGGGCATTCCATAAAGTGAGATTTTGGCTCCATGGCCAAGGTGAACCCCGGTTGGTATGGACCCAAAGGGAGGAAATTCCACTTAAAAATAAAATAAATTATGGGGACGGTGGTCAGGTTGATGAATTGAGATGTCCAGAGACTGGGAATGTCTGTCCCTGGAGGCTGGGAATCCCTGGAGGTTGGGAATGTCTGTCCCTGGAGATTGGGAATGCCTGTCCCTGGACATTGGACACAGTCCTGAGCCACCTGCCCAAGGTGAATCCCAGCTGACAGGGACCCCAGTGCAGGAAATTCCACTTCAAAATACAATAAAACCCCCATAAGATTAAATATTTTTATGGGGAGGATGGTCAGGTGTTGGATCAAGATGTCCAGAGATTTGGAGTCTCAATCCCTGGAGACTGGACATGGTCCTGAAGACCCAGACCGAGGTGAACCCTGGCTGGTGTGGATCCAAATACAGGAAAGTCCACAATAAAATAAAATAAGATAAAATATAGAATAAATAAAATATTTTTATGGGGAGAATTGTCAAAATTTGGATCAGGTGGGAGATGTTTAGAGTCTCCATCCCTGGCAACTGGACATGGACCTGAGGCATCTGTCCAAGGTGAACCCTGGCTGATATGGATCCAAATACAGAAAAGTCCACAATACGATAAAATAAAATAATTAAAATAAAATATTTTTTATGGGGAGGAATTTCAAAATTTGGATCAGGTGGGAGATGTCTGGAGTCTCCATCCCTGGAGATGGGATCTAGTCCAGAGGACCTGGACCAAGATGAATCTTGGCTGATATGGATCCAAATACAGGAAACTCCATAATTAAATTAAATTAAAGTTTTATGGTAAAGTGTTGAATTAAGTGGGATAGATTTGGAGTCTCCCTCCCCAAAGATTGGACACAGATCTGGCAAGGTCCCACAGCTTTTTTTTTTTTTTTTTTTTTTTTTTAGATTTAAAAGTTTTTATTCTATTATCAGTCTCGATGAAGGGTGAGACATAAAAGATGTAAAACTCAACACTATTCCATCAAAAATGAATTTATTTCTTAGTTACAATTCTTTATAAATATTTTTCAACTTATTAACTTTTACTACACAATACTGCTATTATTTTAACACTAATCACCTATATTTCCCCCCACGTAATCCTACTACAATACACCTTTTACAACTCTAATTCTCTAAAATTCCGAATCATTTTACAAAGCTATATTTAAAATGTATTAAAACTTATTTTTAACTCAATCGCTCTCTCAACAATATCACCTCTATTCCACAACCTTCCTGAATCAACACACCTCATCGCAATATTTACATACAAATTCACATTCAAATTTACGTACAAATATACAAAACTAAAAAAAAATCCTGAAAATGAAATCCTAAAATCCTAAAAAAACCCCTAAAAAATCCTATCAAACTTTAAGCTTTCTTTACAAATCTATTTCTCCCACCCAAGGTGGGGATGACCCTGTGATGAGCACCAGGTGATCATCTCCCACTTGGGTACCGACCATCTCCCACTTGGGCTCCCATCATCTCCCTCCTGGGCTCCCATCATCTCCCATTTGGGTACCGACCATCTCCCACTTGGGTTCCCATCATCTCCCACTTGGGTTCCCATCATCTCCCATTTGGGTTCCCACCATCTCCCTATCTCCCACTTGGGTACCCATCATCTCACATTTGGGCTCCCATCATCTCCCACTTGGGTACCCACCATCTCCCATTTGGGATCCCACCATCTCTCACTTGTGTTCCCATCATCTCCCACTCGGGAACCCATCATCTCCCACTTGGGTTCCCATCATCTCCCATTTGGGTTCCCACCATCTCCCACTTGTGTTCCCACCATCTCCCATTTGGGTTCCCACCATCTCCCTCTTGGGTTCCATGCAGACTGACTCCACCTCCCCATCAAATCCTGGAGTTTTCTGGGAGCTGGGGCTGCTGTCAAGTTTTTAAACCATCAATATTTTAGGAAGCTCTGGCCCCGGCTGGTGGGAGAAGAGCTTTGGATGACGAGATGTGCCAGGACAAACTCCCGGTGGGAGCCGCAGCTGCAGCCGCTCCAGAGCGGGCTGGGAGTGCTTATGGTAATTAGGCAATTAGTGAAGTAATTGGCTTCTGTCTCCTTCCTCTCTTCCCCATAAATAGAGCCCTGACGGAGCCCTGGCCGTGGTGGGAGTGAGCGGTGCAGAACAGGATGTTGCTTCCAGC